TTTTGTAGTTCATTCAGATGTTCTAGTTATTCTCAGATGAAACCTTGGCTAGTCTGTCCCAAGTTACTCCATTTTCTTTAAAGCTATAAATCTGAGTAAATGATTTTACTTCCACTTATATCTTCAATGAAGGAAAAAAGGAAGTCTCTCCTTTTTGTAATCTAGCCCATCATCACCTTTTCATTATTTCTTTTCCTCTGAAAAAAAATTATCACTTTTTTAAAAAAGATTTATTTATTTATGTATACAAGAGCTGAGGTACAGGCCAGAGGTGTGGGAGGTGAGAGGATTCACCAGAGACAGAGTGGGGAGCAGAACAGGTAAATCGACGGAAATACACTGCTGAGGGGAGCAGTGGGCATCCAGGCCGGGATTGAACTTGTGCTGCAGTGGCTGCAGATAGTCATAGGTTGTGTCTTAACCCCTTGTGCCACCAGGGAGGCCCAAATTTAATGCTTTTATTTTCTAAACACATTGTTTTATTAGTACTATTAAATGCATTTCTTTTGGTTAAAATTTTTACCTGGTTACTTTTGTATATATGAATGATAGTGATTTTATAGTTTGTATTTTGTCTTCAGCAAACCTTCTAAAGCACTTGATTAAATTTGCAAATTTAGCAAGTTATTCTTCTGATCCTTTTATTTTGCAGTAATATTTATATTTTATGAAGTAATTTTATCCTTTAAATTATAAAATGTTCTTGCTAAATTTATTTCTAAGTACATGACAATTTTATTTCCTGAGGCTGAATATTTTTGTTCATTTTTTTTTTTGGTTGTATTGATAATTAAGGGACTATTTAAAATTTGTATATTTATAAACTCATCAACTTTATTTATTGTTTTTGCTAATTGGCTTGAATTTTATAAGTAGATATCAATTATATAATTGATAAATGTAGTCTACCTTTATTTTGGCATATATTCATACACAATTACACAGTTGTTATCAATACAAAATTTCATATCAGACAACAAATATACAAGAATGAGAACTTTTTTCTTTTTTTTTTTAAATATTTTTTTTTTTTTTTATAGAGGCATGTTTTATTTATTTATTTGTTTGTTTGTTTATACATGCACTGGGTACAGTCAGAAGCGCGGGAGGGTGAGAAAATTCATCAGAGCCAGAGCGGGGAGCAGAGCAGGCAGAAGGACCGAAGCACACTGCTGAGGGGAGCAGCCGGCGGCAGGAGAGGTCTGCGCACCATGTGGGACCCTCCTCCGGTGGCTGGGGAGCAGCCGGGGATTGAACCGGCGCCGCAGAGGCCGCGGGCAGCTTCGCAACCCAGCACACAACCACTGCGCCACCAGGGAGGCCCAAGAATGAGAACTTTTTTCTTTCATGCCGTTGGAAACTCAATTTGTATTATGAGTACCAGTTCTTTCCATATATCAAAAGTTAATTCAAATCAATGTGGGTTCCACCACTACTGATCTATTTCACACTTTTCCAAGTGGACTTACATGACATCAATGTTTTAAGGTAAAGGGTAAGGAACACTGGAGTTTTCATTCTTGCTAGACAATTTTCTACAATGACATCACTTTGGAAGCAACTGTGTCATTATATCATGCATACTGCTACTGATTCACCCTGTTTGATTCCAGCAGTTCTGTCAATCCAGAGGGTTTTCTGGCTCTTCATTGCCATTCTTTCAGGTTGTTGGGATTATCAGTTATTTCTCAAAACAGGCAAAAAAAAAAATCTGTGAACTTATGGGTCCCTTACATTATAGAACTATTTCTTCAATAGAATGTTAATACAACTACCAGTCACACCTAGGAAGTGAGGCGGAGAGGTTCTTCATTCTTAGATTCCAAAAAATTATCTGAGGGCCTCCCCTGGTGGTGCAGCAGTTGAGCGCTGGGCTGCAAGGCTACCTGCAGCCTCTGCAGCGCCGGTTTGATCCCCAGCCACTGGTGAGGGTCCCACATGAAGCTACAGACCTCTCCTGCGGTGCCCGCTGCTCCCCTCAGCAGTGTATTTCGTCAGTCTGCCTGTTCTGTTCCCCGCTCTGGCTCTGGTGAATTCTCTCACCCTCCTGTGCTTTCGACTGTACCCAGTGCTTGTACAAATAAATAAACAAATCTTAAAAAAAAAAAATTATCTGAGAATTCTGCACTCCATCTAACTAGTGTAGTCTATTTCTTAGGCACTTCAGAATTTCTCTCCCCAGATTAAGAAACTTTTCTATATTCTTGAGATAGAGAAGATCTGACTCATTGGCATTCCTTACTGTTTATTGCTTTTGTTCTACAAAACTTTCTGTTCCTTGGGCCTCTCTGATGGCACAAGGGGTTAGGTGGCAGCACGATGAAGGTATCTGCAGGCAATGCAGCATTAGTTGATCCCCTGCCAGGAAAGTGACCCACATGGCGCAGCAGACCTCTCCTGTCTTGGGCACTGCTCCCCTCAGCAGTGTATTTCAACCAATCCGCCTGCTTTGCTCCCCACTCTGTCTCTGGTGAATCCTCTCACACCCCTGCACCTGTGGCCTGTACCCCAGTTCTTGCATGTATAAATAAATAAATCTTTAATATACACAATATCTTATATGTAGCTCTCTCTGTCTCTCTCTCTGTCTCTCTCTCTGTCTCTCTCTCTGTCTCTCTCTCTGTCTCTCTCTCTCTCTCTCTCTCTCTCTCTATATATATATATATATATATATATATATAACCTTTCTGTTCTACAGGAGTCTTAGACTATTAAAAGACAAATCAAGGGCCTCCCTGGTGGTGCAACGGGTTGAGCACTGTGCTGTGAAGCTGTCCGCAGCCTCTGCAGCGTGGGTTCGATTCCTGGCAGGCCAGGGAGAAACCCACATGGCGCAGCAGACCTCTTGTGCTTTGCCCGCTCCTCCCCTCAGCAGTGTCTTTGGTCTGTCTGCCTGTTCTGCTCCCCGCTCTGTCTCTGGTGAATTTTCTCACCCTCCTGTGCCTCTGACTATACCCCAGTTTGTATAAGTAAATCAATCTTAAAAAAAATATAAATCAAATCACTGATTTTTCTATCTGCCTGTTTTCCACTACATAATTCTTTCTGTAAAGCATCGATATAAAATGCATGCCCTCTTATTCTCTTACTTATTGCACATATTTTTGCTTAATTTAGAATTCTTTACTTTTTATTTTCTGTGTGTATGTATTAGGTATGCTTTACAAAAATGTCATAAAAAATAATTATCACCATTGTCATCATCATATTATCTACCAAGCATTTACTTTTTTCCAGAATTTTAAGAACTGTGTAAGTATGAACATATGAGAACAAGAAAATTATTAATGATGAAATTTCACATATTTACAAGTATGTTAATAAGCAATATGCTACTACTTTATGTACATAACTTCTATAGTCATGCATTTTTGCTGTTGCATTATTTTCTGTTTTATTCTACATGGTCATTGGTTTGCTTTTTTACCTGACAGATTTAAGAGTTATACCTTTTACTTTTAATTCACTTTCCCTGTTTTTAAAAATCCTGCCAATATTTCTATTAGAATATGCTAATTCTTCTCTTAGAAGAATGAAAACTAGGAATTTTTTACTTTAATAACTTAGGCCATTTAATTAGTTCTTGTTAATATAATTCCTTTGGCTGACCATTTCAAAATGCTTTTACTATATGTTTAATTTTGACAATTAAAATGTATTTCTACATATAAAACAATGTTTTAGATTTTTCTTGATCTATGCAATTTCACTGCTCAGCAAAATTACTGTTATTTGTGGACATGCTATTTTATTCTTGAGCTTGTGATTCAGTCTAAAAGTGAGTTAGAAAACTACTAATAATGTTTTATTTTGAAAAAATATTTTTGTAACATTTCAAAAATATACTTGTTATTTTTAAATTTTGTGTTGGAAACTTTTCAAGATATTGCTGACAATGCTCTACTGTGTTTTAGTGGGATGTCTACCATATTTATCATTTCCTTATTTCTTATGAATTTACTTTCTACATCATGAGTAAAATTTTTACCTTATATTTTATGTAAAGACTTGTTTTACCTTTAATGTGGTTATAATGCTCATGAAACTCAAGTTTTCTTATAATTCTTTCTTATTTTCCTGATTATTCTATTATAATCTAAGAAAATAATTACTCATTATTATCTCTAAGTTACATAGATATCTCATTGTAGAATTCTCCTTGTGAACATCTGTTCTTATTTTAAGGGGTTACTTGTGCTTTGTTTTGTTTTACATTATATATCATGTATCTATGGTGTACCCAGTCTACCTACCAAGATCCAATCAATTCATTGTTGTCAGACACAATATCCTGCTGGCCAGGTGCAATACCTGAATCTCAATAAGGATACTAGCAAACAATTCAGTGAAGAAGGGCTGATTGACAGTGAAGAAAGGTGACATACCTGAAATGATTCCCTGAATTACAGAAATATTTCTGTTACCACATGTCAGTGACCACCTGTACAATGACAGCCACCTATGCCCCTGGGTCAGTCCCCAGTACGCTGCCTGCTGAAGCAGGGTGAGGTCTTTCTTGTAGATACTGCCAAGAGCATGTCAACCACAGGTCAGATGGAGGAAGAGTCCCTGAACAAGTCTGCCTTTTCGCCATCATCCCACATCTAGTCTGTGCCAGTGAAAATGGTTGCAAGTGCACCTTACACTCTGACTCCGACTCCCGCCTCGTGTTCTAGAGGCTTGTGTACCGCGATGTGGTGACAGGAGGCAAAAGTAACTTAGTAGCCTTGCGGTCATAGAAGAGCTCGGTGGCCCGCACCAGGAACACAGGACAAGCTGACCTGGCAGCAGCAACCAGAGGAAAATGGAGTGAAGAGGAGGAGGCCTTAAAGCTGCCAGCTAAGAGGCCACGACCCTTACCTCTGCCCACGGTCAGCTCTAGCAGCACAGCCACAGCTCCGCCGCCAGCGAGGGCGCGCCCAGTGCCCGGGAGCGCACGGCGGCTGCGCTCCACCACGCGCGCCAGGCTTTCCGGCCAGTGCGCAGACGCGGCCCGCGGCCCCTGAGCGGCGACGCTTGAGCTGGTGCTTGTGGGGCTCGCTGTCCTTCTCCATTACCCCTCAACGAGGCACCAGCCAGACCTCTTCCCTACCCCATACACACACACTGCATGAACCTCATTCATGATGGACTGAGCAAAATCGGCTGGCCGGGGTTCAGGCCGCCCACAGACCCCAAGAGGCCCTGTCATTCGTGGCTCACTGGCCCTCATGAGGAATGTGCCCGCACCTCCTTTAGCTGCCTCTGGAGTGCACGAAGATCTGTTAGGGGGAACCCTAATTCTGCTCTTCCAGGAGTTTCTGCTTTTCCTGAAAAACTGCATCTCTTCTTGCACTCCCTTCTGGGAGGGCCTCATCCAAGACTGAATACGTCAGGCGAGGTTTTCACAGATGAAGAGGTTGAGGCCCAGATCAGAGAGGTAAGTTGTCCCTGTTTGCCCAGCAAACCGGTGGTAACGCTCATCTCCTTCCAACCAGGTAATTCCCTATGCGTCACAGTGAAGCTATGAAAGTCAGGGCTTTCCAATGTACTAACCGTGCGGCTCCCTGCTGGCCTTACTAATTGACATTACTAACCATGACCCATGAAGTAATGGGGTTCTCACCTTGTACACATTTGGGGTGTGGGGATGGAACAAACACGGGGCGCGGGGTGCGGGTAGGGGGATATGCAGAGACAATGTAGGTCATCATTTCCATCAAAGCGAGTTATTCTTAAAATACCTGCAAGTTATGTGTACAGAGTTTTGTACATTTCTCCAGAAACGTCACAATAAATTCTAAAATACTGTTTATTTCCCATAAGCTTTCCTGAGCAAACTAGGTACATCTTGCAAAAGGAATATAAAAATAAATTTTAAAAAAATAAAATAAAATACAAGGATTCTCCCACTGCCAGATACCGCATGTATTATTGTGGGAAGGGCTGTCATTGGCATATTTACAAAGGGATTATTAGATCAGATCTTCTTTCTATTTCCTTTTCAGCAGCATCCCCTTGTATAAAGAGAGACAATGTAGTTTTGTTTCCAACAACTTCTTTGCACACAACAATCTCAAATATATAGAAATCCCAAGTATTTCTGGTTGATTATAACAGATTATGTACTTGTCCATCCCACTTTTATTATGATATATATGAAATCTATGCATAACATTTTTGTGGGTGCTTTAAAATATACACTTAAATGATCATTAAGAAAGAAAATTTAACTGGACTACAAGTTGTGGAATTTCTGATTTTTGAGATATTTAGCCTAATTCAGGACTGCTTTGGGATTTATTCAACATAGGGTAAAAGTGATAATAAAATTTAGTAATTCATCAGTTGTATTCATCGCTTTAAAGGGGGGAAACCTAAATTAGAGAGGGCAATTTCCTTTAAAATGGTTTATTATAAGTAAAAGTTACCTACACTTTACAATCAAATCACATTTTCTTTGTCATGATACTTAACTGCCATGTGCTCTAAGCCTGTGTTTCTGATTTATTGTATGAATTGGGCAGGAATAACATTCTTGTACTAGTAGTAATATCGATGTAGACCTTTTCCTTTTCCATTTGCTTTATCTTTGATCAAAACAATACATGATATTTTGAATTCAAGTATTTTGAGAGAACTTACTGTTTCCAAAAAAACCCTATGTACCAGTGAAACATCACTAAGGAAAGGGTAATTTCTGTTGATTTGACAACTTCCTTATTAATATAAAATCATTTTTTGTCTTTTTCTTAAAAAAAACTTCAAATTATTACTTTGTATTTACTATCACATGTTTATAATACAATAATAAATTTGCAAAGAACTTGTTATGCTTGCTGAAAAGAGAATACCCAGTATTGTTTATTATTAATTATTTTATCACACCTTATATAATTAATCAGCAAACTATCCTTATTATGTTAATTCACAATATTTCATTCAGTTGACTTGTATAGATAGTGATTTTATATATATGCAGGCATCCTTATATGTATATAAAACAAATATTATATGTGACATGTATACATAATAGCATATCTATTGAGTATTAAAATATGGGTTTGGCAAAACACATTTTATTTCCAGTATGATTGAATATATAAACAAACCATTTTATTGAGCAGGAAACCACCCCGACCATGAATTTTAATATTCAATAAATAATTCTGTAAAATTGAATAGCACGTTCTTCTATGAAACATTGTTTTCAGTTAGAAGCTTTATTGTTTCCATATTTGTATAGGATACATAGTTGTACTTTTTGTTCACATAATTCTTTGTAAATTTTTCTTTGTTCTCATTTAAAAATGGGGAGCATTTGTTAGTTTACAGTGAAATTTGTGCTCATTTTGATTCTAAATACTTTTTTTTTTATTTTTCTAGTCACAATTTGATTGGGTTTATTCTATGTGCCTATTTATAAAGGAACAAAGAATTGTCTGTAGAAAATAACTAAAAAGATTTGTTTTAGAACTTTGTATATAAGTACTATGGCTTGATAAACTTGTCGATAGCCAGTTCTCCTCAACATTATAAATGCATAAGCCAATTAGGTAAAATAAATAATCAGGAGCCTTTTTGTTAGGGACCATTGACAGGCATGAGGGTGTTCGTGTGTGTGTGTGTGTGTGTTTGTGTGTGTTTGTGTGTGTTGAAACAAATGTTTCCTCTGCAATAGTAAATAGACTAAAACAAAACTATGACTAAAGTCTCAGAAGGAAACAAAATTTGAGACTCAATGACACACAAGTTCTATTTCATAGCAAAATTTTTCTTGCTAAGCTGATGCAGAGAAATTTTTTTTTTTGTTTCTATGCAGATGGCACAAGAGTGAAAAAAAGTAGGTAGTGTGTCTAAATATGACATCTAAAACTTTTAACATGGAGTATATATCTTCTGAAAATCAGTAATATATTCCTGATATCTTCAGATGAATGATGAATGATATTAATTGAATCAGCAAAATAAATACACCCATCCTTTTCAAAACTTCATGCAACTTAAAAAGTGCAAGAGGAAGTAAGCTCTTGGTTATTCAGCAGCTTAGTACACCTTTGAGATAAAACTAAATGATTGAGAAGTAATTTCATATGATAATGTATTTTAGAAGCCTGTGTTACTTATTTCAACCTCCTAATTTGGCTATGGTTAAATATCAATTTTGTTAAAATGTAAGTCTATAAATTGTACTACTGTCTTCCATTTAAAAGAATCACCTAGTTGGTGCTGATGACAGGATATTTGTCTTCACCACCCATCAAGGGAAGTTATCCTTAGGTTGGATAATGTAAAGGTATTTGCCAATTACATTTCAGTACATTGAATCTGAAACAACAGCAGGACTTTTATGGGATGGATTGTTGTCATCTGTCTTGGAGTGCATTCAGAACATTGACACTAAAATTATTTCTATATACTGAAAATAGTATTGATTTATCTGACTAAAGTAGTATATGGCACCTAAATTTTCTTAAAACACATGTTAATGATTGTAATCCATAAATATCTTTGGCAACAAGTATAGAAAGCAATTTTTTATGATATATAATGAGTGTGTGACTTGGGAAGCCATATCTGAGAAGTACAGGATTAGCTAAATTAAACTATGCTGTCTCCAAACTTCTTTTATCTGCATTATTAAATGTCAAATTTTCTTTGATTTATAATAAGGCTTTTAATATTTCAGCACCAGTAATCCACTGACATATCTTTCACACAAAGTTATCTGTAATGCCTTTGGACATATACCTCTTAAATTTACCTTGCTCACTCCCTAGGCAATAAAAATAAAGTATTTTTAGTCATGAGATTTTTTAATATTACCATGTTGCAATGCAGTTTGATATTTACTCTCTATGAAACTAGAGGGAGTTTAAAACTAGATAAAACATGTTCTCCTCCTCTTAATTAAAAATAGTTTTTGTCATTATTTGTGTCCATATTGTAGAATATATACCAATCCACAATCTCAGTTACTAGAATTACTAGATTATTCTTATACATCCCCATGAAGTTTATTTCCTCACTTAATGTATGTTGTAATGGGATCTGGCAAGGCTCTAGGGTGTTTTAGGATTATATAATGATTTTTGAATGTAATATTCTGATTCCCTGATAGTAACAGAATGCTTCTGTCTGTATCATAACCACCCCCAAACCTGTATAAAACCAGGTATAGTCCATTCTCATAGAAATTGTAGAATTTATGCCAGCTCTTACAAAGACATCAGATATTTCTGCCCAAAATGAAGTAGGGACTATAGTTGTGAATTGCTCATTGACATGAATAAGACAGCCTTCCTGGTAGCCATTTTGGTTTCTTTGCTTTCTTTTGTACGGATAGAAAAATCTAATTTAAGACCTAGAAGTAAATGAGGTCTTGTCATTTTATTTCCTGATTCATCATCTTATATTAGATAGACTTGGAGTTATATTCAAAATGATATTATGTAACCCAATGAAGCACAGCATAACCTGTCATATCCTAATATAATAAGATATGATGTATTGGAAATCATTTAAAGCAATCACTTCATTTCAGGTCGGGTACCTACTATTGATTCATGTGGATTCTTATCCTAAATTAATTTTGGTAAGAGTAAAACAATGTTATTAGAATGAAAATTCCTCTCAAATTTTTGTAAGTTGTATGAATGTTATTCTAACATTGCTAGAATTTTATTAGTTTCCTGCATGGATATAAATACTCACTTTAATAGAAGTATTTTGTATGTATCCTTCTTTTGAACACTTTTTCTTTTTTTTCTTTAATTTAATTTCATCTTTTCTATAGTTATTAGAAAAACAAGCAACTGGAAAAAAATCAGTAAAGAAAACAATGGGGATATGTCCTATATTGTGTATGAATAAGCATTTTAGAGATAAATATATACATACATGAATGTGTGTGTGTATATATATATATATATATATATATATATATATATATGGGTATACATATACTATTGTAGTCTTAATGGACTTGCCCTGAGTTGCACAATTGCTTAAGTAATCATATTGTAGCAAACTTAGGAGGTGGAGGTTAGCAAGAGCAAAACTTGGAGCCTACAGTTTTCCAGAAAGATTTTAAAATAAGCTCTCTTGGCATTTCTATTTCTTGTAATCTAAATTAATGTTATCATATATCAATTTCTGTTTATTTGTTTTAACATTTTCTAAAGGATATGGTGTCCCTGATATATGTTATAATAGCTGTTTTGTAATATTTTATACCATCTAATTGAAATACTCATAAACATAAACATAGATTAAAGGGATTTAACTACTCAGGAATATAGATATACATACAGGTCAATGTTGTGATAGAAACCATGAGGAAACTTTATTCAGTGAATTTGAAACTGTGGGCTCAGGCAGAATATCCTATAGGAAATTTCATTCTTCTTCCTTTCATGTATCATAATTATATCAAAGACT